ATTGTCTGTTCACATGCGGAGCGTTGCGCGTCGTGTGTGTGTGTGTGTGTGTGTGTGAGAGAGAGAGAGAGAGCGGTGTGTGTGTGTGTGCGCGCGTGCGTGCGTGCGAGCGAGAGAGAGAGAACGAGCGGTGTGTGTGTGTGCGCGTGCGTGCGTGCGTGCGAGCGAGAGAGAGAGAGAGAGAGCTCTGTGTGTGTGTGTGTGTGTGCGTGAGAGAGAGAGTGCGAGACACATCACAGTGGAGTCAGCTGTCTTAACCGTGGCTTGTGTACTGCAAACACATTTTAGTCAGCACATCAAAATAATAAAATGCACTAAAAGAATAAAGTGTACTTTAAAGCGTGACAAAAACAAAGATTTAAAATATTCTTTAAAGCTTTAAATTCGACATATTACAAAGTGCACTTTTTTTCTTTAAAAGTGTACTGAAGTTTGTTAAGAACAGTTATGAAAGTGTCAATGAAAGTTTTTAAAAATATACTTTTAAGATGTAAAGGGTTAGTTCACCCAAAAATTAAAATTAGCCCATGTTTTACTCACCCTCAAAGCATCCTAGGTGTATATGACTTTCTTCTTTCAGATGAATCCAATCGGAGTTATATTAAACATTTTCCTGGCTCTTCCAAGCGTTAAAATGGGAGTAGGCGGTGATGTAGCAAATTAGCTCAAAAGGGAAATGTATATAAATAATTACAATAAAGTATATCAGCCTCCAGTAGTAACTGTAGCTGAATTAATATTGTCATCAACTAATCTGTTCATCCAGAGAACATTCAGTGTAATTTCATATCAACTCTAAGAAAGGAGTTGGCCACAAAAAATAACCCTCTTACAGTATTAATGCATTAGAGCAGGTAGATTCATCGGAATCGAAAAAGGGACATTATTCACAAGCGGTGACAGAATCAGAATCAAAAGTTTTAACTAAACACTAACACATAACTAGTCTAAACAAACAAACTAATCAACATACACTCACGCGTACATACAAAGGGGAGCTAAAGTGGATGAATGAAGCCATTAGAGAAACCAGAGAATGCAGTTATGGAAAATGAGTCAGATCCACCTTAGTTAAAAACCATCAGTGCCGTTTTACAACGGGGTCTACAGTACAGCTAATACTAAACCTCTGTTTCGTTTAGTTAAATGTACGATACTTGCATTGCCTTGGTCGTTGAACGAGTGTAGTCTCGGATGAAAGTTTTGATGGTTTGAAGGTTTGGTGGGGTTGGAGTTCTTCACGTTCTTCCAGGTTTGAAGGGTGATGAACTCCAAAAGATGTTATTCTGGCTCGGTGGTGATTGGGAGAGTTTTCTCCCAGATGAAGGTGATGAGAGAAGAGCGCAGAGCTCGAGAAAAGACGAGGCCGCAGCCTGGCACAAAACTTGGGGGTCCAGAAGAAAACTTCAAGCTCAGCATCTTCATCTTCTCAGAATCTCAAAGAACTTTAGACTGAGCTGTGTCGTGGCCTACCAGGCGTGCCAGCTCTGGGACTTAGCAACCAGAAGATGGGAAGGTGATAAGAGATGAGTGAAGAGACTAAAAAGTGAGGCGGGTCACTGAAGTGAGGCCTTTTAAGTTTTGTGGAGGTCACACCTCTCGAGGCTCAAAGAGCCAATGGTGACTTACACTTTTGGAGGGAAAGTTTACGACTCTTTGTCTCCGAACATGGTAATGTGCATATGTAACTGGATTGGATGTTGATGCAAAGACTACTGAAGATTCTTAGAACACTAATATGTTGCATAAGTATCAACATATAATATAAACTCTCAATTAGATCATCCGAAGACGAATTTATAGAGACCAATCATGGTATAGGTAAGGTTACGTGAACGAGTGGTTCTATCATAAGCATGCATCAAACAGTATACAATATATAAGACAATATTCAAGAACAGTAATGGTATACACAATGACCTGAGGATATGCTTGTTCATTGACAGAAAGGTTTTTCTATGAATTAATTAGAGAAGAGTCCATTTTTATGGGCATTATGTGTCTTTCCTAAGGGGAAATGGAGTGAGAGTTGCTCTGCCCGCATTCCTTTGAGCAATACAACTAGTGTTATCAGAAGATTTGTCTTTGGTTGCCATGGAACCAGAGGCCAGTTCTGCCTTTTTGAGGTGTTAGATGCATTTCGGGGGAAGGCTCCACAGACCCTCACAGTTGCCTTGTTGGTGGAGTGAGGGCGTGTTAGGGATTATTTGTTAAATATAACAAATAGTTGTGCGTCTGATTGGTCCAAACGCTAACAGCGGATGTTTTTATTCAACAGTCCAAAAGTAGTCAAATAAAGTGTGCGCATCCCTAATAAAACGTGCCTCACATGGCATCGGGGGGTGAATAAAGGCCTCCTGTAGCGAATCGATGCGTTTTTGTAAGAACAATATCCATATTTAAAACGTTATAAACACTTTTTTTCTCACTTCTGCTGACTGTCATACGTGCAAGCCGTTCCGGCGGATGACGAAAAAGTGTTCATAACGTTTCAAATATGGATTTTGTTTTTTTACAAAAACGCATCAATTCACTACAGGAGGCCTTTATTCACCGCCCTCCCCCCAGAGCCGTGTGAGGCACATTTTATTACAGATGCGCGTGCTTTATTTGACTGCTTTTGGACTGTTGAACAAAAACACCTACCTACTCCCATTCTAACGCTTGGAAGTGCAAGAAAATGTTTTATTATAACTCCGATTGGATTTGTCTGAAAGAAGAAAGTCATATACAGCTAGGATACTTTGAGGGTGACTAAAACATGGGCTAATTTTCATTTTTGGGTGAACTAACCCTTTAAGTATTAGGTACACTACAAGTGCACATTCAGTACAATTGAGTGCATATCTTTTTAAGCCCTGCATTTTGTTTTCTTTAAAAATTCATAATTTCAAAAGAAACAAACATCTTACTGCATTTTCCTCCTCCTGGCTGTTGCTGGCGTCTTCGCTTTTGCGGTACTTGTCTGATGAACGCGAGTCTCTCTTCCGGCTGGTATCAGTTCCCTCCATCGGCCTCTCACCATCTGTAAATGAGACAATGACCACACACATTCACTTTATATTTCATCAGCAGTATTATTGGTTCTCTATCATTACCATTTATATTGCATACAGCACGCAGAAATCATGAGCAGCCATTATAGTGACTCTTCTTAGCCATTTAAATCATTCTTAGAGAGAGACAGCAAGAGAACACATGGAAATGGCTACAGCTGGGGTGCAAAATTAACACTTTCCAAGTGCCAAATGCAAATAAAATTGCCTTTGGCAAGAAAATGAATAAATAAACACACCTCTCATACACCTGGACGCCAGCAGCTGTGTAGGCAAGTATTATGAAAAATGCCTGAAGAAGGTCTTTGACCAAAATGTTGTTTATCAAAACATATTTGCAAGCTACAACACTAGGATTGCTTATTATATTTTTTTCACTATTTTGGGGAGTAATACTGCCTTCCAGTTAGCTGATGGCCTTACAGAGCTAAACTTTGACTATAAGCACAAGTTCTGGTCCATATCACAGCTTATTCAATCTGAGAACTGCCCACATAGACAGGAAGAGACTGTCTGACATATACAGCAATCAAACAGTTTCTTCGCTGATTTGAAATGCTAAAACCAGTTAGCCTAACTTGGAACTGCAACATAAGAAACTTGTGTGTTGTGAATTAATCAAAAAAATAAATAAAAAGATAATAGGATTCTACTGATAAACTTGAACCGCAAGTAAATTCCTACGTCATCTTTGGTTAATACTGAATAATTTTAACTATTTAAAATGATTCAGTATTGAATAATTGGTGGAAGTGTTATAAGTGTTAAGACAGTTGGCAGAAGTGATATAAAAGTGTTTATTACGTTTGAAATATGGATATTTTTCTTACTAAAACGCATGGATTCACTAAAAAAGGCGTTTATTCACCCCCCGGAGCCGTGTGAGGCACGTTTTATTATGAATGTGCGAGCTTTATTTGATGACTTGTGGACTGTTCAACTGCAACACCCGCTGACTGCAATGATAGAGCTTGGAATGGCCAGGACAATTTTAATATAACTCCGACTGGATTCGCCTGAAAGAAGAAAGTCATATACACCTAGGATGCTTCGAGGGTGAGTAAAACACACGCCAATTTTCATTTTTGGGTGAACTAACCCTTTAAACCTAACCAGCTGTGTTAACAAAACACTTGCTGAAGCATCCATGACAGTAGCTTGCTTTTTACAACTTTTTTGTTTTTACAACTTTTTTGTCTTAACTCCTTTTTTTTGGAACTTATACCTGAGCTCTTCACATCACAAGTGTTGCTGTACCAGGGGAGCTACTGAGCGAGTTTACTATGTCCGAAAATTCATACATGCAGAGCTGGTACTGTAATGCAAATGTGAAAATGTATTAGTTTATAAATCATTCACTATGCTAAAAGTGATTTGAGGACAGTACATAGTATTGTGCAAGGAATCACACAAAAAATAAATAATTATTAACTGATAATCTAACCCTGTAATCACTTTTGGAAAGCTGTTCGGCCAATCAATGTGAGGACCAGAACTAACTATTGCAAACAATGCATTAATGCGGAAAAAAAAAAATTTGCCCAGCATTTTCACCATCAATTGTCAATTGTCACAGTAAGTTAATTTTGGACTGGTTGCAGCCCAGAAACCAGTGCCACTAGGTCAGTGACACACTTTGGATGGATTATGGGATTGTCCTCCATTGACTGCTATTAGGAAATGAGGATCACTTAGGTGACATGGCGAAAAGCTAGAAGGATATACTTGGAGGTGTGCTAACATCAACAGATGGATAAAAGATATTTTCAGCAGTCAGATGAGGAGAGGGACTACAAGGTAAATATGGCACAAAATCCGCCTTGGCAGAAGCTCCTTATAAAATGTGTCAAGAGAATAAAATATCATTGCATGAGTGCTATTGCCTGTGGGGTGATTACGACTTTACCTCTTTACAAACACAGTCACACATACAAGGAGCTAAAACAGTTTAAGAAATAAAATTGTGCTGTAACCAGAGGGAATAAAGCAATAAAATATAATGAATGCTTCTCCTATAATAAAAGATTCTCTTGATATCTACTGACTATAGAGGAAAGGCAGTTTGTGGTCACAGCCTGGAGGTCTAGGATACATTATGTATGCACTTGCATGTGCATAGTAGGGCTGTCAAAAAAAATGTGAATATTCGTCGAATTTAAAATAAAAATCCACAATTTTAGGTGTGCGTTAAGGAGGCTGCTTTTTCAGTTGCACACGAGATGCGATGACGATGTAAGTGTCATTACATTTTAATGTTTTTGTTAGCCTATCCAGTTGAAGCCACTAGATGCGGTGCTGCTGCGTTGTTGATTACAAATATTGCGGGAAAAGAGAACATCAATGCGGAGAAGATCTTGTTTACGTCAAAACTGAAACCAAACCGTTCACACAGAACGCATATTTTGCGCATCTATCACCGTTGCACTCACGTCTCGCACAAGAGAACCGCATGTTTAGAAAGCCATGTAAAATTCATGCAAGTTCAACTTTGAAAAAACATATCTCGGGACTTAGTGACGGGTTTTTCCCCATCCCACTGCAACTCGTGTTTTTGAACGAAAAATGTACTCTGTGTGATTGGCGTTCGCCCTTTTGTATTAAACTATGAATGCATACATGACGCTGTCTTGTTTATAGTTGTTTAAAAAAACTTAATTATAATTGGTTTATAAACATTATTTTAAACATTATGCACTTTTTTTCACAGATAGTCATGTTATCTTATGCTCGACGCTCCCTCTTGTGGCCTCAAGAGAAAAGCCAAAAGCTTTTCGTTACCCTAACTAAAATTCTGCATTTTAAATTTGAATATAATTCGAATTTTGATAATACTTAAGCACAAAATTCGAATTTAGTTTTTCAGCCATTTTGACAGCCCTAGTGCATAGTGTGCATGTGTGTGTGTGTGTTTGTGTGTCATTGCAAGTAATATAAGAGAGGGCCTAAAAATGAACAAATATTGTAAACTGGGCCTCAGAAACGCATAGGCCAATGTATTCTGTTGCACCCATTGAATGGCTGGAAGTATTTGGCACCATTTATTTTAATTGCAGTAAGTTATTATTAAAGGTGAAAGTCATTTTAAGTAATTTTTCGATCTCCAATATGACAGTGTACCTAAACTTTTTACTGACACCTAGTGGTGTGGATGCAACATCAAACAAAAACCGATGTTTTCGTTTAAGAGTATATAAGAACAAAAATAATTGCATTTGTCAGTCAAGATGAATTCGTTGCAAAGATTGAGTTTGTGGAAACACATTTAATACCATTTACGCAAACAGTATTTGTCTGGTCATGTGATTTCAACATGGCTGCCACCATATGGTGAATCCCCTTTGCACAGAATAAAGTGGCTTTTTCTGGGCAACTGATATGACTGAAGTCATCATCTCATTTGAGTTTACTGTACATCTGTCAAAAACACAATTAATCCCTTTAGATGTAAAGTTTTTAGTGTCAAAACATGACTTTAAGACAATGAGTGTAAGCTACTACACTCCTCCTTTGACATTTATTCTACTCCGAGTGAGGGAACAAATGTCAAAAAGATAAAATAACAAAAGCAAAGCTATCACAGGTATACAAACTGCAATCTTGAGTTGCCAGCAAACTGTCAGGGCCACCTCAGAAATTCACTTAGTGGATTAAAAACATGAGGATGAGCTCCAGTCACAGCATGAGTATCCGTATCCCACAAGGTCTTTGTTATTGCAATACCTTGACCAAAATAAGGGACATTTTAATAGTGGCTTTATCACTTCATTACAAAACCCCCTTATTTGAACATCCTTGAATTTGTGAATTTCACAGGGATCGCCACCAAAAAAAATCTCTTCACCCCTAACTGAAAATTAAGTGGTTATAAATTAATTCCAAATGGAGAGCCTTCGGTAAATGTCATACTCTCAATTAAGGTATATTAGCATCAGGGAAACTAGCAGAAATGACATTTTAACATAAATAAAATCGACAGAGACAGGTGCTGTGCTCCCAAGGCACTGCCTTCTATGCAAATGCCCATGCTTAAATATTCATGAGTTGCAAAGCAGAAATTAATGGAATATGCAGCGCTGTATGCAGTATGGATTTTGGACTGTTTTACTTTTTACCCACTTTGAGTCCATAAGGTTTGGTTTTCTGCCCAGTGAGTCAAGCATTTTTGAATCAGCTATGAATTTCAATACATTACTACAAAATACAAAATTGCTGCAATTAAATGAATTTTGTATCGATGTCTCATTTGTGGTCATTAAATCTAGACACGGTCCCACTTTATATTAAGTGACCTTAACTACTATGTACTTACATTTAAATTAATCGTTTAGTACAATGCACTTATTGTGTACATACAGTTTTTACATTGTACTTATATATTTAAAATACATGCATGTAATTACATTTATAATTACACTGTTGACCCATTCCTTACAACTTAACCCACCCTTAAACCTATACCACCAAACCTGTCCCTAACCATACCCATATCCAACCTCAATAGCAGCAAAAGTGTTTTGCAATTCAATATGAACACAATAAGTACATTGTACTTATTTTTTGATGTAAGTACATAGTAGTTACGGCCATTTAATACAAAGTGGGACCTTAGACACTTGAGTAACTTAAAAGATTCAATCCATCACAATTATGCCACACGTTGCTTAAGGTACCCTGTAAGTTGCTCTAGATAAAAGCATCTGCTAAATGACTATACTTACTGAACCTAAATTGAGTGCTTTCAGAACATTGTTATTTGTGCAAAAGACATAGTAACAAAAAGCACTGGTCTGCATTTTCAATCCTCTCAAACTGGTCTACTCATTATCAAATGCATGAACTGAACTGACAAACTGCCAGGAGATGTTGTTCTATGAAAAAAAAAAAGTATTGGTCAATTTTCTAAGCAGAATTTGCCCATGATATGATTTCTGTAGCTCAACTGGTAAATCATGCAGCTAGCAACACCAAA